CGGAGTACCCGGAGGGAACCCACGCAAACACGGGAAGAACATACAAACTCCACACAGAAAGACCCCGGCCTGAACCACTGAACCATACTATGGAAATTAACCCTCCAAACCTCTGTAGAATTTACCTTGATGGCGAGCTCTGCTCGTCCACATTCATAAGCTTTAGCTGCGATGTCCGAGTACGAAACCCCAGGTGAGTCTCCCACTTTCATACACACTGCTCGTGCTATGGCATCGTCTGTTAGGTCCTTCTGCTGCACCTGGACACGTACGCAAACACGTCACACCAATCAGTCATGTGAAAACAGTCTCAGGTGGGCGAGGTGTGAGACAGTTACCTTGCATGACGCCCAGTGTTTGAGGACTCGGCTGACTCCCTGATAATCAGGGATCTTCAGGTAACGACAGACTTCGATAGCTAATGGGTAAAACTGCCGATACACCAACCTAAGAGAGAGAGACAGGTGAGTGAGAGGTGGAGGGGTAACACGAGATCTCAGAGACATTTCGATGAGTTCACTCACCTGTCAATCAGCACCTGTAGAGTCAGCTGTTTGAATCTGAGGTCAGAGGTCAAGGAATTCATCACCATAGTAACACACCCGTCTGAGCTGAATCCTAAAGCTAATCATGGGTCACAGCGGCGTGACGAGGGATGCAGCCCCTGACTCTGAACAAAGTGAGACCTTACCACACACTGCATCTCCCATGATGCACCTGTGCAGACTGAGAGGATACTGAGTGTGCGTGAGTGGCAGCCCTATGCTGCTGTCTCTGACGGCGTTCAGCACTCGCAGCTCCCTGCAGGTCGTCACGAACTGATCCGGACTGAAGTCTGTGAGGAAGCACTTCCCAAAGGACGCCGCCTGGAGGGAGACACGCCACATTACAGGGACAGGTCGTAGTACAGGGCAGGTCGCATTACCCTGACACGATAAAACAGATCATACGGACGCTCTCACCCTCATCAAGGATTTCTGGGTGTTGGTGTCATACTCGTGACCTGCCGCCTCCACGCACTGTCTGACTGCTTCTCCCAGCATGCTCTGCTCCTTGATCTCCCGCAGGTACTCGTCCGCCTTCTGACTCGATTTCTGCAAAGACAGAAAAGCACTCGTCAGGCCTGACAGACTTGTACCCGTACTACATGTGTACCTGTACTACATGTGTACCTGTACTACATGTGTACCTGTACTACATGTGTACCTGTACTACATGTGTACCCGTACTACATGTGTACATGGACATCAGTGAATGACAGTATTAAGGTGATGTAATGGAGTGGACTTACAAGTACTGATGTTGTACTGTGGCAGTATTACAGTGTTAATGGGACAATATTGCAGTACTAATGTGGTACTGAATGATGTACCTCGTACTCCCGGTGGGCCTCCAACAGCAGAGCTCCAGGCGCCATGGAGGCGATCTTGAAGATGTCCTGACAGACCAGAGGAACCTCCTGCAGCAGCTCCTGATTGGACGAGCTGATTATCCGAACTCCATCCATCTCTCCCACCAAAACACACGGATCCTCAATGGGATACCTGAAGACCGGGGTCAAGGGTCAAACCACCAGAGAATGACTCACGAGGACATCCTCGAACACGGAACATGATTCTTTGTTTATAAATGACCAGCTATAACAAGAAACCCAGAAGGAGCTCCAGCAGAACCTTATTGAGTGCTAAGAGAACCTTAATGAGTTCCAGCGGAACCTTAACGAGCTTTAAGAGAACCTTAACTAGCTCTATAAGATCCTTAACGAGCTCCAGCGGAACCTAAA